CCATTTTTCATCGTCAGTCATGATACGCTACAACAAACAACTCTTTTTTTCTTTGTTTAGCAAGCAAAGAAGTTGCGATAGACAAACGATTCAAAATGGCATTTTCTGACAACTCATATGGTAGCCATATCCCTTTCTTGTAAGTTTTTCCTGTGGCATGCAAGCGTTTTGAGACGGTCATTAAAGTAATATTTAACGCTTTCGACAATTCTAAAAGCGTTTGAGCTGGATTCTCATCAGGCAATTCTTGCAGTTCAACATCTTCAAATTTTTTCGGCTGTCCGGAATGTTCTTTGTTTCTTACGTCAAAATCACCGTTTCGAAAGCATTCAAATCAAACTCTATATCTTCTTTCCGATGGAGTTTCATCACCATACATTTCGGACAATAAGCAATGCGTTTCAGCTTTCCGTTTCAGGTTTTCTTGAGTTAGAAGTAGTGAAAAAGTATATGTCGGAAAAATAGTTTATCACGGTTCATTTTCAATCGATTGGAAAATCTCTTTGGCGTCGAGAAATCTAACCTACGACTGAATCACTTTCAGCAATGTCTAAACCATAATATAACAAACATGCGACTTCACCTTCGAAACTCGCCAGCGTTGGAGCCGCCACCCTCTAGTAGCGAGCGGCAGAAATTAAGTCTACCACCTAATATATATATGTATATCAAGCAAAGTACGTATAAATAGCATAGTACTGCTACATAACATTTGCTACAAAATGTAGCAAATTAAAAATTGAAGGATTCTGAGGTCTTCTTTCTGCATTCTACATTCTGCATTCCAATTGCAAAATAATACTACTGAAATAATTTTCTTTGCTCTTGGCGAAGTTGATTCACAAAACCTGTAAAACGTAGTGTCAAAGACACGTTTTTGTAATAGAAATTTTAATTTTAACATCTCGGCCGGCTCAAAAATCTGATGACAACGAAGTGCAATAATTATTGGATAAAAGTAAACACTCTGTCTAAACACAAGAACTTGCTTTATTAATGTCATGCTATTGATATCAGAATAAAGACGTGACCCTGCTATAATGAAAGGAATAACACACAATTCAGAACTACATACAATAAATAGCAGTGAAGAGAAAAAATGTTCCCTTACTTTTGCTTATGCTTTCGGTGGTTAGCCTCTAATCGAACAATTTATCGACAAGTTTATCGATACTTATACAGGATATCCCAGAACAATTTTTACAGATCTCGTGGAGACATCGAACAGATTAAGACAAACATAAAAATCCTATACCGTTTTGTGATATTTATGATAATTATCAAGTTATTTATTACAGAAACCTGACGAGTGAGCGCGCGCCAAAATGGATGATTAGAGAAGCGTTGCAGCCTCTTAGACGACAGAGCGGCCTAGGCCATCTAGGCTGCGTTCCGATATTCACTCAGTCAGTACTGAAATAGTTTGTATCACATATACTGTAGATTTTCAATGCTAGTAGCACCCCTAACAACTGTTGGCGGCGTGCGACGAGTAGGTACAGCGAAATAAGGCTGTGTTCACTGCCAGTACTGAAAATACATAGTTTGTCTCATATAAAATATAAATTTTCAGCGCTGGTAGTGAATATCGGAACGCAGCCTAAAACAAATAACGACGCGTTGTCTTTCCCCTCACCGCACACCAGCAACAGTTGCTGGATCGACTGGGCTATGCTGTGGCCCAAATAGCTGCAACGCTTCTCCAACCATCCATGTCGACGCACGTCCACCCGAGATTTCTCTCATTAATAACTTGATAATTACCGTAAATATCGCAAAACGGTGGGTATGTGAAGTTAGCACCCCAATTTTAGTTTTCGATAGTTCTGATTAAAGTTTTAGCTTCCTTTCGAAGAGTATAAGAGTTCTTTTATATTAACAAAAAGAGTTCCGGCGATCAACAGTATTAAAATAGCAATTGAAAAATGGGGTGCTAACTTCACACCCAATTTCAAGATCGAATTGTTCTGAGTAGCTCATTCGATGTTTTTTGACGAGTACTAGAGTTCTTGATAGATAAAAAGATATTCTGATTATTTTCCAAAAAATTAAAAATTTCGAAAAATTGAACATCAAGCTCGAATAGTTCTGAATGGTCTATCTGATTTCTTTCGATGAGTTCTAAAGTTCCTGATATAAGAAAAAAATTAAATTCACAGAATTGTTTAAAAAATAATTACTAACAGTATTACCGTAATAGACATTTGACGACAAATAACTTTTTAATTACTGGTCGGATCGCTTTCGCCATCATAATTTCTTTTAGAACTCTTAGAATGCTATCCAAAACTGCCTCAGAACTCCTGAAAGCTCTCAAAAAAAATTTCGCTCAGGACTTAGCCAAATTTCGCTCTCCAGCGAGATTTTTTTAAATAGTTCCAAGAGTTCTCATGACAGTTTTAGATAATATATTGAAAATTCTAAAAGAAATTCTAATAATCGATTTAACCAACAACTTAAAACTTATTCCACTAAGGTGGAACATCCGGCGAGCGAAATTTGGCTAAGTCCTGAGTGAAATTTTTTTTTAGAGTTTTCAGGAGTTCTGAGGGTAGTTTTGGATAGCATTCTAAGAGTTCTAAAAGAAATTATGACGGTCGAAAGCGATTCGACCAACCGTTCAGAACTTATTCCACCTTAAAAATCCGGCGAGCGGAAGGACCCCACATAAACCTTATGGAAATTGGGTCCCGGTGAATTTGTCTGAAACTTTGGGAAATGGTAGCTTCTGTCATGCTGATAAAAAGTTATCATTGCACCAAATTGATTTATAGCGTCGTTTAAGTGTTAGTGTTGTTTGAAAGTCAGGAATTGTGCGGTATTCTATGGATAGCATGGGTAGCATATCAGTTGCATATACATATATACATGTATACATGTGTGTGTATATGTATGTGTGTATGTTTGTGTATATGTATGTATAATATGTATGCATGTATGTGTTTTCATAGAAATAGAACAATAATTATAATATATTTTTTAAGAAGTTTCACCGTCGGCATTAGCATTACCCAATGTACACCACGTAGAGGTTGCCCAATCGGAATTTGTACATCTTGTGGCCCTGAAAAGGGCCGGTTTTATTTGTATTCATTTTAACTATTCATTCAAAATATTCATTTTTAAAATTAAATGTTTTACTTAATTATTTTAAATGTTAATAATATTTAAATCATTAGCAGAGTTTTCTTGCGGGGCTCTATTTGCAGCATCGTGAATGTCATGAAGAAGTCTCATTGAAGGATATCGGATGCGCTGTTCATGATGAGCACATGCAGCACCCATCCGTACATACACACATACATGAACACATATACATATATATGACACATACACACATACACGCATACACACATACATATACACACCCACATGTATACATATATATATATATGCAGCTGATATGCTACCCATACTACCCATAGAATACCGCACAATTCCTGACTTTTAAACAACACTAGCGCCTAAACGACACTATAAATCAATTTGGTGCAATGATAACTTTTTATCAGCGTGACGGAAGCTACCATTTCCCAAAATTTCAGACAAATTCACCGGGACCCAATTTCCATAAGGTTTGTGTGGGGTCCTTTGGTTAAGTCCTGAGCGAAATTTTTTTCAGAGTTCTCAGGAGATCTGAGGGCAGTTTTGAATAGTATTCTAAGAGTTCTAAAAGAAATTATAATGGTCGAAAGCGATCCGCCTAGTAATTAAAAAGTTATTTGACGTCAAAGGTTTGTTACGGTAATACTGTTAGTAATTATTTTTTAAACAATTCTGTGAATTTAATTTTTTTCTTATATCAGGAACTCTAGAACTCATCGAAAGAAATCAGATAGACCATTCAGAACTATTCGAGCTTGATGTTAAATTTTTCAAAATTTTTAATTTTTTGGAAAGAAATCAGAATATCTTTTTATCTATCAAGAACTCTAGTACTGGTCAAAAAACATCGAATGAGCTACTCAGAACAATTCGATCTTGAAGTTGGGTGTGAAGTTAGCACCCCATTTTTCAATTGCTATTTTAATCCTGTTGATCGCCGGAACTCTTTTTATTAATATAAAAGAACTCTTATACTCTTCGAAAGGAAGCTAGAACTCTAATCAGAACTATCGAGAACTAAAGTTGGGGTGCTAACTTCACATATCCCAAAATGGTATGGAACTTTTATGTTTGTCTTAACCCACTCTATGCCTCCAGCTCTGTAAGGATTGTTCTGGGACACTCTGTATAGATAACGAGCAATGAAAAAGCTCTGCTAGTAGGATGTAAGCCAGAAGGCAAAAAAGGACTATGAAACTATTTCGTACAATGAAATGTGAGTTATGTAAAATCGTTTATTAATCAAAAAGTTGTGCTCGAAAACGTCAAATATTTAAATGATCCTGTAAAGAATTGTTTGATGTGAAATAGAACTTAGTAATCGGTCCAGTATCTATTTAGTGCAATGATTTGTCATAAACAGATGTTGATCGAATCACAGAGATGTTCAAATAATTGTGGTTTGCATCTAAGGTCCTCCCAAACATTCCTTGCATGTGTAATCAGAACTATTGTAGTTCTCTTATAAATAGTATTCTACAAATTCATAATTTTCTTCATAAATTTTTTATTAAATCGAAATCCGGAGATTTCGTTGGCCAATCGAGAATTCCAATATCTGAATATTGTGTGAACCACTCTTATATTATTTACATGAAAGACATGGACAGCACTATTCTGAATTAGTTAAATTGTCGACATATCATCTCCTGAGTAGAATCTAACGTTAACGCGCTTCTTTTGTGTTCTCATATCGTGTTCCTGCTTAAAAATATGAGAAAGAAGATGAGAAAGATATTAACTACGAAAAAAGAAGAACAATTAACAAGCTTCATATGTTTCTTTCGTTATTGTTTCTTTTCTAACATTCGTGTCCTGTCATCTGAGATAATGACGGACACCTTAACATCGTAAAATAGACGTGTTAACGAAAATCGACCATGACCGCATTATAGGGATGTAGGAGAGTCTATAACAGGGAAGATCACACATCGCATTTCTTGTTGTATGCAATCGGTACGAAATGGATTAAACCATGGGTAGAGGAAAAGACGGAGGATCTTATAGATAAGCCGAAAAAAAATAAAAAATGCTTATCAATGGCTGAAGAGGATATATCATTGATCATGCAAGTAATAACAATTCTTTCCTTTCGATGTCATCAAATTTACTATTCTTAGAACGGTTGCGCGATGACGATTAAACGAAGAAGACTTGCATTGTTATCATGTTGCCCGAAAAATAATTTTAACTGATGCATCGCGAGTAAAAGTATAAACTGCATCACGTTTGCTCTGAAGAAATTAATGCACAGTTTTACCAAAACGTTTGGAGTACACTATCTATAAATCGATGGAAAAATATTTTTTTTCAATAGTTGATCGATGCTCCCATCTGTAAAAGCTCGCTCATTTTCATCGACTAAATTCAAGATATGTTCGTTGCAATCGAAATGAGTGTATCATTTACGTAGTATATAGGATTGGATTGAACATATTGTCCAAGTTCGGAGAACGTATTACTTTCTAGCATTCGCAGAATTTACGCAAAAGAGAATATGCTAACAATTTGATTAATTTAGAATAATAGTGTTGTTCATACCTTTATATCTACTTTTCGTACAATGCAAGAGTAATTTACAACATCTGCACATTGAAATTCTAGATTGGCCAGCGGAATCTTCAAATTTTTATTTAACAGAAAATGTATGGAGAACAATCGTGAATTTGTAGAATTCTGATCATGAGAGAACTAGAGTAGATTTGGTTGCGTACATGAAGAACGCATAGGAGGACCTTAGACGCAAAACCCCAATTATTTAAAAACCCCTATAACTCGATCGACGGCCGTTTATAAGTTTCTGCACGAAATGAATACTAGACCAACTATTGAATTCAATTTCATATCAAACGATTCTTTTCAAAACTACCTAAATATTTGATGAAGAAGCGCTTTAACGCGTGACATTTGGATTAATATTAGGTGTACAAATGAATAATCCAAATTATTTTAAGCAGTTATGAAATCAATATTAAATTGAATAGATTTTCCCGCTCTTTTGTGATTATGCAATGTTGACATATAGCTATTAAAAAGAACATATAGTTTGACGAAAGGCCCAACATAACCTTCAAAAGTATTCAGTTCAGTACAGTCGAAAATGGCAACAGATAAGGTGCATATCCGACACTGCATTCTTTACGAATTCCAACAAGGAAAAAATGCGAAAAGAGCGTGCGAATCGATTTGTTCCTTTCTCGGCGAAGGTGTTGTATCGTACGATGCGCATTTTGGTTTGAGCGGTTTAAAATTTCAGTCTAATCGACAAACAATGCCCTGGAGGCCTTCCGAAGTGCGATAATGATGGTTTGGAACAACTGCTTGCTGAGAATTCGGCCCAAACACAAAAAGAGCTTGCAGAACAATTGAGAGTAACGCAGCAAATGATTTCCGAACGCCTACATGAGATGGGAAAGATCCAGAAAGAAGAAAAATGGGTTCCGCATAAACTCACTGAAACCAACAAAACTCAACGAGTGGCAGCGTGTCTTTCTCTTCTCAATAAGCAGCATCGAAAGTCTTTCTTGTGGAAAATTGTTACGGGCGATGAGAAATGGATACTCTATGATCCGAAACGCAGAAAGTCATGGGTAAATCCCGGCGAATCATCAAAATCGGTCGCAAAACCCAATCGCCTCGGAAAGAAGGTTCTTCTCTGCATTTGGTGGGATATCAAGGGCGTGCTTTATTATGAGTTGTTGGAACTGGGTGAAACAGGTACTGCGGACTGCTCCCAACGTCCATTAATCTGCTTGAGTCAAGAATTGGAACGAAAACGCCCGTATACTGGCAAAGGAAAACGTCCAGTGAAATTGTTGCATTACAACGCCAGGACACATATTGCTTCCAATACAAAAAACACCATAATGAGTCTTGGCTGGGACGTCTTGCAGCACCCGGCGTATTCACCAGACATTGCTCCATCCGATTATCACTTGTTCCGGTTGATGCAACACGCCTTGTTCGATATGCACTTCCAATCAGTGGATGAGATCCGAAAATGGCTTGACGACTTTATCGTGTCCAAAGACGTAACATTTTTCCGAGACGGAATTCATCAGCTGCCTGAAAGATGGCTTAAAGTTATAGAAAGCAACGGCGAATACTTTGATTGAACAATTTAATTTACTTTCTTTTAAAATAAACCTTGAACGTAGCTGAAAAAATTGGATTATTCATTTAATACACCTAATAAAAGAATTTAAATAACACATTTTATTATACCAAATAATTTATTTTCGTATCCTTTACCGCCTTCTGATTCATATGTCATTGTCAATACATAACGCTTTTCTTTTTATCGCTCGTTATTATATAATAAATTGGTTGGTCAGTCAGCTGGCCACTGAAAGTTGGCGCAAATTGCGCAAGAGTTGTAAAACAACATTTTTCTTCATGCTAAATTCATTGCCGATTATTGTAATATGTGCTCCGCACTTTAGCTATCGAAATACGAAGCATACATGTGTGCTTCTCTTAATTGTTATTGCGTTATTGCTTCTAATATGGTTTACGCGAGACCGCGTCTCCATTCAGACGTTATTGGTCACAGCTTAGTGTTACAACATAATTCGTTATTTTTGTTCTACTGCATCGAATGGAGAAAATTCAGAAATAAGATAGATAGATACTAGATATCTTAACTGATGACAACAAACAATGATGTTTCGATACGGCAATGGCTGTATTATCTAACAAGCAACATCCGCGTAGTGTATGTCTCCGATTTCAAGGAAATCTGGCATATTTGTAGAGTAGCCGAAAATAAGAGACCTATATTTTTGTTATCATCAATGGCTCAGATTTAAAGGGTAAAATTACTCTTCAAAGTTTCATCCTCTTTATGCTATCTCGATAACTATTGCAGATAGGAAATAACTTTTTAACCGAAACTTTTTAAACAAAAATTGTATAGTATTTTATAAAAAATAAAATAGGCTTGATTGATGAAAAAATATTTTTAACAATTAACAAAGTAACCATGTCAGGCTTAATTATTAATTTATCAAATTCATTATATGACAGAAATGTTAGCATTTCTTATTCTGAATCCATCTATATATATTGTTTTATATTTAAATTATATGGACATTACAATTTATAAGCGGAAGTGATACCAAAGTGTTAAACAAAGTGTTCGGTTAATATGCGTGAGCGCTTAATCGTTATGCAAATAATGAGCATCTACTTACATGTTTTGAACGCAGGTATAAAAATAATTCAGAACATATTACATAAACTTAATATATAATACATAAACATAAATATAAACTTAATACATAAACGCAGGTTACTGGATATTTTTTTTTTATTTGACATTCCGCAACACATTCACTAACAGAAGTTTACCAATAATTGTAATAATTGCAATAACTGTAATAAACTAGCTAGTGATAATAATTACTCATACGAATATTGTTATTATTCATATAAATGGTAAAATTATTTATTGTCACCAGTCAATTTATTATAGTCAGTAATAGATTTCTGTAAGAATTGCTTTATGTGAATATGAGTGTCTGCATATTTTAAGAAGAAATACATAACAAATGTGGGATTTCTTGGGTCCTTGTGAGGCGAAGTGAAAGAAGTGTCTTGGATTTCACGAATAAGAATATATTTGGCTAAACATCGGTATAAAGTATATTATATAATGTAGACACGCGACTTAACACTTTTATACGTCTGCCCGTCATTCCTGTTCCTTCCTTACTTTTTGTTCTACTGTCTTTTTCTACTATCTTCCGCCCACTCCTCATCTCCCTCGATCCATCTATCTGGTGCCCTCTGTCATAACTGGTTTCCTAAACGAAATACTCGGCAACCTCTTCGCTCGTGCTTCCTATACAAATATGAAAAATTAATAAGTTTTGAAAGCAAAATTAATAATATTAACCACAACAAAAAAAGAAAATGCTGATTTTATTCTTTATAACCATAACAATATTGATACTTGTCAAAAAAGTGTTTAAAACATAAAGACTTTTTACATGACTTTTCACATTTAATTATCGCAATATTACCACAAATACTATATTTTGGCTCATTCTCAACTAAATAACAATATTCTACCGGATTTTAAAATATATTTGATCTGTTTCTAATGTATCCGCTCCGATATCACGAGTATTTAATAAAATTTTGAAATCTTAAAGAAGAAAACTAATTGTCTACAAGTGACTGCAATTTTAATATATGTTATTTAGGTAAGAAAATGCGCGGAGTGCAAAGGGTTAATCTTACTGATAATAAACGTTCTAGTAAACCTATCGAGATTGATAACGGTCAAATCTCCAGTCTGATTGAAAAAGTAATTCATGTTATATATATCACATGAGAGATTGTTGAAATATAAGGAATATCGAAATCCAGCGTTGAGAATCATTTGCATCAACTTGATATAGTTTCTAGATATAATGTTTGGGCTGTAGCGTAAGAAATTTAGTCGATCGAATTTTAGCTTGTGAATTATTACTAAAACGCAATAAGAACGAACCTTTTGTGAAGCGTATTATTATTGGGGGTGAAAAATGGATTGTTTATAATAATGTGATACAAAAAAAAGAAAGATATTGGAATAAACCAGAATAAACCTCTTTAATTTCATCCAAAACCGATTTACAAGGTCATGTTATGTATCAAGATAAACTGAAAATTAGGCAAATTAGAGGTAACACCGGTGACAAAGCGCAAATAATAATAATATTAATAATATTAATAATAACACCGGTGGACAGGCACAAATGCAAAGTATTTATTGAAATTAATACAAACGTTTCGGTCCTATATTTGGACCCTCTTCAGTATGTAACTCCACCAATATAAAAAATACGAAAACGTCGCAAGTAAAAAGGTTGCGAAGAAAAACCCAATGTCTTTAGAAATCACTAAATTTAGATGCAAAGGCTCAAACTGCAAGTGTGAAAATTATCAAAAAGTCGCACTTCCTATTCAAGTGTCAACATCCGATCAGGATATAATAATAATACACGGCGTGTTCTCGCAACGCTCAATACCAATACCAATTCACTTAGTGAATGGTATTGGTATTGAATCTAATATCTAATCTAATATGGTTTACGCGGTCTCGCGTAAACCATATTAGAAGCAATAACGCAATAACAATTAAGAGAAGCACACATGTATGCTTCGTATTTCGATAGCTAAAGTGCGGAGCACATATTACAATAATCGGCAATGAATTTAGCATTGACACTTGAATAGGAAGTGCCACTTTTTGATAATTTTCACACTTGCAGTTTGAGCCTTTGCATCTAGATTTAATGAGTTTTAAAGACATTGGATTTTTCTTTGCAATTTATTTTACTTGCGACTTTTTCATATTTTTTATATTGGTGGAGTTACTTACATACTGAGGAGGGTCCAAATATGGGACCGAAACGTTCGTATTAATTTCAATAAATACTTTGCATTTGTGCCTGTCCACCGGTGTTATTATTAATGTTATTAGTATTATTATTATTTGTGCTTTGTCACCAGTGTTACCTCTAATTTGCCTAATTTTCAGTTTATCTTGATTTGTTATCTTCGAGAACTATACTTGTATTTAATTGTCATGTTATGTATATAGTGGAATTGGAAAGGAGTACTGTTTTATGAGCTTCTGCCACTTAAAGCATTAATTCTAATAAGTATTATCCACAATTGAATAAACTGAAGACATTAAGGAAAAACGACTAGAATTTGCCAATAAAAAAAGAATAGATAGAAAAGATAGTTTTCTATCAAGCAACACGGAGCCACATGTGTCATTAGAGACTCAGCAAAAATAGAAAAAACTAAATTAAGATGTTCTTATTCATTAATCATATTCATCTGATTTAGCACCATCAGATTTTTACTCGTTTCGTTCTTTGCAAGATTTGTTTAATAGAAAAAATTTTAATTCTCTGGAAGCCTGTGAAATATATTTTCCAAGATATTTTGCTGAAAAAAATAGTAAATTCCAGGAGGGTAGTATTATAAAGCTGCCTATAAGATAAAAAGTCATAAATCAAAATAGTCGATAAATCATTTAATAAAGTTTTCTATATTAAAAAAAAATTACTTCTTTTACCGAAAAATCCGACAATACTTATTAGCCAACTTAATATCAGATGAAATAACGTAAAGTCATATCATACCAATCTCATACAAATCATCGATACCAACAATGATTATTTTAATGATTGAGTTTATTGTATATTTTAAGAAATTATTTTTGTACAAAAAAGCACCGAATTGATTTATATATTCAATACGCATGCGCGCATAGAAAGGGGGGAGGGGGAGAGAAAGAAGTTGTATAGTACTTTTTTAATATGAGCAATGATTAACGAGTTATAATTTAATTATGTTTGATACGCTTGGCACGCTCTGATTGACGGAATACAACGATAATGCCGTACACTTAAAAAATGTGAAACCCCGTCTTTTAAATTAGCTTCGCTATTCTGATTAGTGAGGGAGTAGTGATTAGGGAGAGAAGTTCATCATGACACGAAGGACTTCTCTTCGTTTGTAATAAATAACTTATTGTTATTAATATAAATAACCTATTGTTATTATAATCAGAATAGCAAAACTAGACGATGACGTAGAGGTTTGCATTTCTTTCGGTATATAGCATATACCTTCGTTCGTTAACTTAACTATTATTCGCAAAAAATGACAAATAATTTTCCGTCTACGTTTGTTTTCAATTAACTACATTTTAATATTTAATTGGTTTTCGTGTGTACGTATGTGTAGGTATGCGTAATTGAATAAAATCATTGATTAAAAATGTTCTACTAAATGATTTCTTATTTTCTATTATTCAAATTAGTTGTTATGTTATATACATATATAAGTACATGTATAAATATATATATAAATATGTTATGTACATATATAAGTTGTTTGATTCAAAAGGTACCAATATTTGTGTTTATGTAGAATACAAATTGAGATGAAATTGAACAATGAGACTATTATCATTTTACGAACAACCATTTAAAATTTTGAGTAATTAACAAAAAAGAATTAGCGAACACATTCGATATGATGAATAAGTTATTTTTTTATGCGACCGCACTGACAAAGTTTATCCCGCCGTACCGCACACACTAGTTCGAATGATCTTCTTTCGTTAATGGCTCACAATTTAACGTAAATAAATAAATAAATAAACGTTATTTGCAAAATAGTGGCGATCCTATTGCTTACTTTGATGTATTCTATTTCTATACGAACATTGATAAGGCTTGCATCAGACATTTTATTTTTATTTTATATTTTTGTATTACGTACTCATATAACTGAGGAGGAAAATAATATGATCATATCAAGTTAGTTTTAGAGAATTTTGTAACATATATACAAGTCCGAAATACATATAAAATAAAAATATAGCTGTTTGTTATATACAGAATAGTTATATACAGAACAGTTATATACATATACAGAAGCCATTATAATTTGCATAAAAAACATTAGAATTTGTGAGAAGTACATGCAACGTTTTTTATTAGACTAATTAAGTAAAATATTTTTAATCTGATATTTAAATTACCTAATTTTTTAATAAATATATTTAAAAAATTATATGTAATATTCATAAAACATAAATTTATACATTTAATTTTCCAGAACCAACCTATGGAAGGCGAGGATCCGAGTGACTATAGTTTCAGACACATCACTGAAATCACAATCTTGACCGTTCAACTGATTGTTGAGTTCTCAAAGAGGCTACCCGGCTTCAACGAGTTAATGCGTGAGGATCAGATCACTCTACTGAAGGCATGCTCTAGCGAAGTGATGATGCTACGGATGGCAAGAAAATACGATGTGCAAACTGATAGCATTATTTTCGCTAACAATCAGCCATACACACGCGACAGCTATAACATTGCGGGGATGGGTGAAACCATCGAGGATCTTTTACGATTCTGTCGGCAAATGTATGCCATGAGGGTCAATAATGCTGAGTACGCTTTGCTCACTGCTATCGTTATTTTTTCAGGTTCGTATATAATACATAACATAATAGATACATAATAACAAATAACAAATAAGTCTCTATTACGTTTTTTTCTCTCTATTGTGGTTTAAATATGTAAACACGAAATTTGTTTTAATTTCTATTTATCTTCGGATAGCTATCTTTAGATACAATTCTATCTTTTCGGACTTTTTAAATGATCAATAAAATCCTCAGAAATTTCTAAATATTCACAACGCAACTCTAGATCGGTCATTTAGTTATTAACTTATATAAGTTGTGAATTAAGTAATATACAGACCTATTAAATAGACGCGCGCGCGTGTACATTATATTATATTAATTCTAATTTAGCAGTTATGAATTAAATCAAACGAAAAATTAATATCTCATAGTTGTTGAATTTTGAATGTGCATATAAACATTCTATTCTTAAAATATATAAATTTTTTTACCCTATGTATATATTAAATAGAAATACTTAATAAGAGTAAATATATACATAATAAAAATTTTAAAAACGCAAAAAATAAAAATATACATTATCTCTTTTCTTATATCTTAAAATATTTATTTTTATTAATTATTTATTTATCTAAATTTCCTTTTTCCCTTGTTATTTTCGCTCTCTCCCTTTTCCTTTCTCTCCCTCCTCCCTCTCTCTCTCTCCTTCCCTCCCTCCCTCTCCCTTTCTTTCCCCTCCCTCCCTCCTTTCCTCTCTCCATCCCTCTCCCCTCTCTCTCTTCATTCTCTCCCTCTTCTTTTTTATGCTATTATTGTTTATGTAGAACACTATCTTTTTAATTTAATGATCATGATTATTTTGCAGAGAGACCCAATCTGGTGGAAAGTAAAACAGTAGAGAAATTCCAGGAAGTTTATTTGAAGACATTGAAAGCGTATGTGGATAATCGTCGTAAATCCGGCACGATCTTCGCGAAGCTTCTTTCGGTTCTAACCGAACTTAGGACCCTCGGCAATCAAAATAGTGAGATGTGCTTGAACCTGAAATTTAAGAATAAGAAGCTGCCACTTTTCCTCGCCGAAATCTGGGACGTGGTGTCCTAGTTTCACAGTCGCCGATCAACGGTGATTGCTTCGGTCGGCTGAATAAGCTCTTCGACGTTGCGATAGCGGCGGCAGCAGCAGCAGCAGCAGCAACGGCGTCGATAGACGCATGGACGTGGAAAACGGCCTGCGCAACTCTTGTACTAGTGCACCACTATGCCACTGCCTCACCGTCAACATCAACATACTGTATCAGTCTCCGTTTTAGATTCATTACAGTCATTTGCTGTTTCTCGAGGATTAACTACTTCTAGAGGTTGACACTTTAGATGGATTGATCTTTATACAGTTTGTAAAGATAAGTAAAATATAAGCAAGCCGGCCCATACTGTTCGCGTATGATATGACGCGAAAGAGATGTTTTTGCTATTACAATATAACAATAAAATTATATTAAAGAAAAATGAAGGTTGTGTTAAAGTGACAGATGATAAAGCCAGTTTGATTTTATAGCGTGTTAACAAGAATACACGCGATCGAATATCTGTGATAAAGGAACGCGATGCTAAATATCCATATGGTGTAATGGATATGCAAAATGAGAGTTTATTCGATGAAAGCTTTATGTTATTAAAGATTTATGACACAAAACATACGTGGTGTCAGATTTATATGATCCATGAAATTATCAATTTCAATAAAGTTATAAAGTGACTCGTTTATGAAACTTAAAATCTTTGCATTTTATATTTATTCATTGGAAATTATTTAAAGTAAAACAGTCACTTGTCTCTGATGTCAGACAGTGGGATTTCTCACGTACACGTATTAATGAAAGAATCGTGGATCTATTGTAGCATACGCACTTCAGTGATATGTATACACATGGTATTATCACAAGAAAAAAAATAGAAAATGTTAAAACAAGTAATATAAACATCTATATCGAATAGACTAAGAATAGATTAGTAGAATAAATGAATACGCGTTCGTAAAAAATCCTACCAACATCTCTGATTTACCTTGACTTACAAGTGATTGTACCGGTGCGCCTGTTCATTTATATATAAGTTGCAAATATTTAGTTACATGAACAGTACGCGAACCGTGTGAGACCGGCTCGAAGACAAGAACGAGAAAGAAGAAAGAACTCTATATGAGGGTGGTGGAGAAAATGGTAAACAGAAAAGAACGATTATATACCGTTGTAGAAAAGAAAGGCAGTGGCGCGGCCCAGGCTGTGATATATAGAGAACAGTACAGAGAACGAAGCTATATAAAAAGAAAGCTATCTGCAATTTACATTTTATCGCTATGTCCCTTACCAAGATACATCCTTACACATACAATCGATATGTAAATGTAATGTATTATATGATAAAATATTGATATCAGACATGCGCGTCACATATGTCATCCATGAAAAAACAAATACTGTCAAGTATGGTTGGTTTAACAGTTTTGGGGGAGGGAAGGGATAGAAGGGCATAGTGACATGATGAAAAAGATTAAATTGCGATAATGAGAAAGGAGCATTATCTAAGTAATTGGCAATATCGTTACAAAAAGTTCGAAATTCCCTAATCATAGATAATACATTTTCCCGAATTTCGGCCATAAGAAGAGCAAAAGCTTACGGATTAAATCCGTAAGATGGACGCTGTTGAGCAGCGTTGCACAAGTCGAACATGCATTAAGAAAACAAAGAAAAAGTATGCATAACAATACAATAGAGTCTATATCATACATACACATACAGCATAATATATCTTGCTAGAATGTACATTGTTTATATTAAGAAAAGGAGAAAAGTATGAGAGATTAGGCATGTATGCGCGCGTGTACGAGAAAGTGAAGGGCGGGAGGGGGAAGGGGAATATAATAGAACGTTAAAAGTCAGAATACGTGAGAGTCAGAAGATTGCATAGAATCTACACTGCAGCAGGATAGCGTTTGGAATTATGTATTAGCATTCTTTCTTATTAATACAGACCATATGTGGAGATGTGTACAGGGCGTCCTCAAAAGAACGAGGACGAAATAATAAAACTCTTTTCGCAAAAATATATATTTTTTAAGAGGTACATAATATGCTACATTTAGAGCATGTTGCTTAAACAATACATAATATGTTTTAAACTGAAATTTTTAATGCATAATGCTTTTCATTAGAATCTTACAGCATTCTTACTTACTATTTTATTTTATTATAAAAATATGATAAATCACCAAGATATAAATAATATTGAAGACACGAACACACGTATGCACATGCACGCACGCGCGAGCATATTCATATGTTTATACATAAAGGTTGTATCGAAAGCAATGATTGCTCTAGTTTGTTGAAAAATATAAGGATTTACGAAAGAAAAGAATATATATATATATATATATTAAACGATTTTATAAACGTTTCTTTTTTTTCAATGTTTCGATTGATGAGTTTTTGTTAATGTTCTAATAATTTAAAACTATTTTTTATATTAAAAATCCGTTTTAGTTAAATTCAGTGATATGTAGTGTTTCATAAGTATTTTATCTTTTTTATTGTCAGACTTAGTTTTATCATTTGTTTACTTTTTGTAAGTTGTATTAGAAATTTGACATTTATAACACTTTGCGGTCCGCTGACACTACAGTATCATCGCGTAAATTTCGACATTGCAGTCACTAATGTCATGAAAATGTCACGATGTAAGAAACATATTAGTTAACGAGTACATATACATCTATTATTAAATATAATAAGTTGTTTTATATCGGCATTTATTTACAGTCGAAGAAATGTTATTCAATATAGATTATATACTAAGTTTATTTGAATCAGATGTGACATCAGTGTGACAAGTTCTTGCAGAGTGCGGATCTCAAAGTGTTAAATAGATAAGATGCTACAGGAAATTATGCGTTTTTATCTATATGTGGCCGAAATAAACTTTTACCACGAATATCTTAACTATTGAAGCATAAGTAGAATAATATCCATTGAGCTAGAGAGATTATAAAAATTAGGAAACAAATATAAAAGTACTATCTGATATGTTTAATTTTTCTACCAATCCTGAAATTTTTACAACAACTTAGCGAACATGACTTTCGACAGAATCTTTGTAATACTGATACTGATATATTGATATTTTTCTTTTTTAATACATATCCAATTGATTTAGAAATTTTAACAACGATTTGTTTTTAATAAATAAAAGTAAGATGTATAGGACGTCCTGCAAAAATATGCGAGAAAATATAACGATATTTATGAACAATACTGATGTCTTTTTTTGGGGCACCCAGTATAGGATACTCTGATTAAATTGTCATAAACAGGAATGGGAAAGTACATATTTTTTCTTTATTAGAAAAAAATGTATTTTAAATATATAGAATAAATCAACTTTAAATTCGTTTATTAGTTAAAAATTTGTATAGTTAATAACATTATAATTATTTACTATATATCAACGATCACAATTGCTACATTATTATTTAGCTATCGTATATAAAGTTATTAACTAAAAAAAATAATATTCTGAATGAAACAAAGTATCGAGAACTAGAATTAGGAAAATTAAAAATCCCGATTTTCAAAAATATTATTTGCTCTGATATTTTTAATCATATAAATAGAAATTTAAAGTCGATTTCTTCTTATCATTAAAAAATCCGAGACTGAACTTTATTAAAAAGTGATTAAAAATAATGAACGATACATGATACGCATGAAAAGAATCGATTGTCATTTGTTTCATATAGAAAGAAGTAATGAAAATAATTAAACAAAAAGAAAAGTGAGAGAGAGGGGAGAAGCATGGTGATCGATTGTTTAAGAGTAGTAATGTTCAGAACAATAGCAAGAAAACTTGTTAAATTAAATTAATTCTCGTGTGATTACACTTTTTAAAACGTATGTATTAGTTGCGCTATTATAATTATTGAAATATTCCATTGATATATTCATGAGATGTTAAAAAGTAAATTTATTAGAAATTTTCGTATATATGCTTTGGTTATGCAAAATTATGTTTATATTCTGATCACGAGAATAAAATATTAATTACTTATTCCGTACATCCCGTGCTTCCGCTCGAGATTTAAACAAATTTTCATAAGAACGTGGGACTAGGTTGGTAGTAGGTATGTTGGTTGTAAATGAGTGAATTAGGTGACCGAGTTCTAGTGCAAAGCCTTGTGCCTTCAGCAGCGGATATCGGTTCACCGACATAACAGAAACAAAAAATAAAGGAAATACGTGAAATTTAACCGTCCGTCTTAATCTTTTAATGAAAGGGGAAACGAACTCGCTACAAAAACTATGAATAAAATTGTGCGAGTTTATTACACGTTTTATGTGCACATTATTAAAACGTTGGAAATAGAGGTAGAGATAGTAAGAAAGAAAATGGAGGGAGAGTGAAAAAAAGAAAGAAAGAAGAGAAGGAATAAAGTGAGAAATTGGGAGACTGCAAGAGTAAATGAATTAGTAAGGATGGTTATATTTATAAGCCACTTTAAAAAATTAATTTTGAAACGAAAATTGATAAAAATATGAGGAATTAAATAAGAGTTTATAAAAAGATTCTTATAGTTTCCAGAAAATATAACAGAGGATTCGCTAACATGAAATAATATGTAGCATTTAAACATTGAAACTATGAGATAAAAATGATAACGAAGAATTCTTGGATTCCTTGGATCTTTGGATTTTTAGGCTCTGCACCTATAAGATTTTAGATTTTCAATACATATACATTTTTAGATTTTTGGATTCCAAGATTCTTGGACTCTTAATCCTTTGGATAGTTTTGTTAAATAATTTAATTGTAATTTTTTGAATTCGCAGAATATAAATTTGATTTTTTATACTTCTAGATTCCTACATTTTTAAATTTATAATTATCTAGAGAATTCTTAATATTGCATTATTGTTATTATTTACTAATAGTTATTCACAATAGAATAACAATATTACACAATAGAATAACAATCAGATAATATTTTCATATCAAAATAAACAAAAGAAATCCCGTGAATTCCCAACTACATGACTGGGTAATCAATTACACTTCCCAACACTATTTTAACCGTTAAATATCATTTGCTCAATTTTTACTATCACATTACACAATTTTGGAAAAATTGAATAAAATGTGTCGGAAATGACTGTTTTGAAGGATTTCGTAATGTAGCCATAAGAGAAAATGATATATTTTTAAAATTTTATTTATATGCACAACAAGCAAAAGTATTAATTTTAAGCTTAAAAATGCGTTACCTTTTCTCATGATTTTTCGTTTTTGAGATACAGTTTTTATTTAAATATAGCTTTTTCTTGTAAGAAATGAAAAAGGTATTTCATTCTATATTTATATAACATTGAAAAATAAGCACTTTTTGTACTTGTATACTATAATCGGAAAATACTAAATCAAACAGCAAGATGAAATTGACAAAATAGTACTACAAATAAGTACTAAAACAAACAAGCGCGGCACCGCTATCCAATAATATGTGTGGATAGCATCATATATAATAATATATGTATATTAACAAACGATTACGCTCATGCATAAATTACTGAAGTTATTGCTCTTTTATAATTAATACTTAGGACTTAATATTTAGTACTTTCTGAATACGTTATTTAAGTACAAAAATGTAGTTGGTCTCCACACTGTAATATTGAGATAAAAAAAATAATTTTTTCATACGAAAAAAGGGTTATTTTGTAAATAATTATAACTAATACAATCGTACGAAAATGAGAAGAAACGTGTTTTAAAGTTCAAAATTTATATTTTCACATGGCATTAATAAAATTAAGTTCCATCATTACTACAACATGTTGTAATATATTTTAATATCGTTACTTTTTTCAATAGATTTTTGCACATTTTACTTCATTTTTCAAAATTGTGATATGATAGCCAAATTTCGATATTAAATTCGTGTTCAGTGGCCAAAAATATGTTAAAAAGAACTTCGCACTCGTGAGTAAAAAAGAGTCAAAATTTCTTACACAATGATAAAATTAATTTCTATCCTGATAAACACTAACTAATAATAACATTACATAAATATTATAATTTTTATTCAACAATACAACTATTATAAGAAGCACAGGTTATATTATATACATTGTTCTTTTTCTTTCTTTCCTTCCCTCTCCCTCCTTCCCTCTCTCTTTTTCTCTTTCTCTCTTTCAGTAAGAAATTATAATATTGATCTAATGTTACTGCTAGTTGATCTTTATTGAGTATATAGAGTTTAGACTAATTCACATGTATTATTTATATTGCGTTGTTGCTTATGAATATCAAAGTCAAAAAGTCTTGAGCTATTTTTATTTCAAAGTTTAATGAAATGATAAATAATCGTAATTAATTACAATTAGTTTATTTGAGTAGACCTAGAAATTAGTTATATTATCACATATCTAAAAATTTATGAAAGCAGTCTTAGAATTAGAGAGATAACATCATTGCGGTCAGTTGTTCGCACACACTACCAAGAATATAATTCGCGATCATATGTCTACTACTGCCTAGTTTATCAGTTTCAGAAAAATTCATTTTGAAAAGTGACGCGTCACCATTACTCTAACTATTGAAAAAATAATTTGTTATTCTTATTCGAGAAGTAATGAATCCTTGTAATTTCTGTTACCCTTTTAATTGAGTTTTAACTTTTAAAAAGCTTTAAAGAGGTCGATATCATACATGTATTTTACATATATATAGTACAAAATAATAATAACAGTTACGATTATATCTATTGTTATTATCTAAAAAATATAATTGCGTCATTAATAAGAAAGAAATAGCATAGCTGTCACAAGTTATTAATAAAAAAAATGTAATTTGTAACGATAACATTGTTATAAGTAAAATTAGTTAATATTATACATTATTTCTCAATTCTGCTTAATAATTATTGCTTTATTTATTAAGCTTCGGAAAAATACATCTCAAGATTTTTCGATTTAAATTTTCATAAAAAATGATGTTATTTAAATAGTAGGTGCGACATAGTTTACACCCTGTGTAGTATAGACATTTCATATAACTGATTGAATAATTTATGTTTGGATTGTTTTATTCAGTGGTGAATGTCTTCTTATTTATACTTATTAAATAACAAAAGCATAGTCAAAATCATGTACCTATAGGAGACGAGTATAATTTGCAATGTCGAAAAAGCATCAGTCAAAATAATGTCATTTTGTAGTACGGAAGTGTAAAGAGAAGGAACTGGGGGGAAAGCTTTATTTTATATCTCGTTAAAAATTAATCTTATATTTAAGTTTATAATAATAACTTCATAACTTTCTAAGTTTATAATAATATCCTTTTTATAATAATTCCAAAAATTCATGTTTTCAGAAATAATAAAATTCAGGATATATTGTAAATTAAATATTTATAAACTTAATTTTTTCTCTGATCGTGAACTTTAAGATATTAAGTATTTATTTTTTACTAATTCATTATTTTTTAAGACAGATTTGTAAACAATTATTTTTAATATGTATATTAATGTTATATCCAACAAATATAAGAATCCAACAATTGAAAATGCTGATATTTAAGGAATTCCACAGTATTAATTTAAACGATTTCAAGGAATCTAAGAAATCTTTCAGAAATTTAAGGGTCCGCAACTAATAATTGTAAAATAACTCACAATAAAATGACCTCACAAAATTCAATAATTTATCGATACAAAGAATTAACAATTCAAGGATCTAAGAATCTAAATTGTATTGTATCGCTAGTAATAACTCGTCTCAACTAATCTTGCTATATTAATTTCTTGAAATTCAGCGGTAAATATAACATTACATACAACTGCTTCGATGTTTGCAAGACAAAAAAGAAATATATGTTAAAGTAATGTAACACAATATACGTTTAACAGAAGCGAGTCGACAATGACCGATCGGAAAAGAAGAATACATAAAAAAGAAAAGTGTGCATGCAATTTTACGATCACTGCCAAGGACGTTCATCGTTCATGTCATTCTCGTCTTGTTGAAATATTGTCGTCTTTTTCGAGATTTAAGAACCGAAACAAAAAGTGCAAGTACGATAACGAAAAATAAACGCCTGCAGGGCGATCGTTCACAATACTGCCAAGTGTAGAATCAAGTTTCTGTGTTAAAAGAGAAAGAAAGAAAAAAGGAAACTATAATACGCCCATCTGGCATGTGGATATATTGACATATGTACACGAAAGCACGCGTCACGTTCGTCAGTCAAATATATTAATACTTATACGCTTCGTGTCACAGTATCTGTCTATCTGTCTGTATCTGTCTGTCTGTCTGTTTGTCTATTTGTCCGTTTACTATCTGCCTGCTGTTTGATTGTTCGTCTATTGATCAGAATTGCATAATCTACTATCTTGAAATAATATGCTAAAATACATCGAACAAAATGTTTAGTACGACAGCCAAAAGCATACTTATTTACAGGTTCTATTACATAATTGGAATATTTGTAAAATTAAATTTACGGTTTTCCATAAAAAGAGTTTTCGTAAAGAGCTTTCAGGAATAATATGAAGTAAGTAATTTCGGAAAGGAAAAGATAAAACGGATGTAACTAGGTTTTATTAATACAATGTAACTGGTACATAAACTATCCGATTTCTTTGATTTGTGATGAAGATTTAAAGCGTCTAGGATCCAAGGAAACCTAAGATCCAAGCAACTTTAATCGCTTCTTTGCACTAAAGTCTTTGCACTTGGCAAGTGTCTGTATCGCTAATTGTCGGTTAACTTCCAAATATTATCTCAAAGGATGATTCGTATGATACGGTGTTAAACAACGCAAATGTCATTTGTTGCTTGCACAAGACTTACTATTATTATTATTAAATACAACAACTATTACTATTACTAATATTAAACTCTATCGTAGAGGTACAGGTAGTACTACGTACTGTTATTATCGATACTACCGCTACTCTGCTAGTACTCTATTACCGCTACTATATTACTAGTACTTATACTTGACATTCACTTTTATCACGAGGGGTCAATGATACAAGTGCATGCACATACATACTAAAGATACGCGAACGCACAGAACTTTAGTATCATTAACCCCTAATTTCATAGATCCTTGTCATCAAAACTTCTTGCTATTAGACTAGCTAAATCTTTTTGGGATATACTGCGTATCTCTGTGGTGTAACAAATCCTTAGTATCATATATCCTTGGCATCGTAAATTCCTGTTGCGAAAAATCAGTGATATCCTAAATCTTTAAAATTCTTTCAACAAATTCAGCAGTATGATTTTATTTATAAGCATTATTTTACATAGAAGAAAATTTTTTATACGAACAAGGAAATGGGAGAAAAGAACGTTAGTAGAAATTTTTGTGAATATACGCATAATTTACATTTACATTAGGTGCAATTTAATTTAAGGGGCTACATACAACCGAACAGTTAAAAAAACGCTTGATGTTTGAATTTTCTACTAACTATATTATTGACTTTTTCATATATATAAAGACCTTTGATAGAAGATCCTTCATATTTTTATTTACATAAAGTTTATTATAGAAAGTTGAGATGTAACGCTTCTAATATTTACATAAAACTAGTCGCCGATAGTCCGGTATTTTTGGCACCTAAAAACGACTTTGGCACCTCCAACACGACTTACTTAAAATAAACATGGCTAAATGTGTATTATAGTAAATAAACAAAACACTGATCTTTATCGCAACTGATTTTTAAAATATTAATTTTTCATAAATTAATTGGCCATCAAAGTAGATTGATCGTTTTTCATAAAAAATTCTTCCGTATCTCACGTTTAAAACTTACGTTTTAAAATAAATAGATATCATATATATTCTAATTGCAAAAACTAGATAATCTTACTAAGAATATCTATGCGAACTACGGCTAAATGAGTTCGCTAGTTCCCAAAATATTTTGGATACCGATTTCGAAAACATAGTTTCGAAAGAAACATATTTAAAGGTTCAAGTAAAATTTAAATATTTTTAAAAAACTTGCAGTTTTTAGAAATTTATCGAAAGATTCCGGGCATTTTAATATATTTTATTTTGATAGTTACACTTTATAAATATTTTTTTTTCAGATTTTTACAAGACTATGTCTCCTTAGTCGCTGCTAATATTATGTATTCGGTCAAACTAATACAGTGGTTATTTTTTAAAATAGCAAATTGATGATTATTTATACTTAGATATGACATAATTTGCATTTTTCAAGGATGTCATGTGCATATATGCATATGTATTATTTTTACAATGACTCCACAATTATATTCCTTTTGTGAGATTTTCCACATTAAATATTCAAATTTACATTATTAATTTTTATTTTATTATTTTATATAAATTTGTCAACATAACTCTCTAATAACCTGACTTTGTTTTATATCTTAATAATACTGAGAACTTCATCAAGCAATGGACTATAATTATGATTATTACTCCTACTTCTGATTCGTATCTTTTGAAAAGAATAGACGTCTTTTTCCTTTTTAATGTCTTCTGAATTATCTATTAAAAAATTCTTTTCCTAGAACCATTGCTTCTCTCTATGTTCAATATTTTGCTCATGCTCATTATTTTTTCTACTAAATGTTCGATATGATATACTGAAGACGACTAAAATGAATACTCTGTTCTTAAAAATGTTAGCTTAAAACTGTACTGTTATACATAAATGATGTTCTAATAAAATAAAATAAAAAAGTTTTGAGGAAGTTTTTAGAATAGAAAGATTTCTGATATTGATAAGACAAAAGGAATTTTATAATCACTAAATGCATATTGACCGCGTGACAAGACCGGTTTTATTTAGAATGTCATAATTTCTATAAATTTTAGTCTATAACTAACTGTACAAAGAATATTCTCGAAGAATCATACCCAACAAACACAATATTACATGTAACGTGCATATTAGTTGTAATTTCCTACTCAACAATATAACTGTTATATAACACATGTGTTATATCTATATATCTATCTGTTATACACACATGTGCTATATAACAGTTATATTGTTGAGTAGGAAATTACAACTAAAATGCACGTTACATGTAATATTGTGTTTGCTGGGATACACATTTTCGAAAAATACAGTTTTTGAAGAATCCATTTTTTGCAACCAGCTGGATGTATGTAACCCCTTAAGTCTATATTAGTGAGAAACATAAGCGAAAAATAAAATTGATTGATATGCTTTTCGGGGTAAATGGCAAGATATAAAAGTATGTATGAATATACGTGATCGAATAATTGTAAATTGGTGCTTTGGAATGTATTAGACTGAATTATTGTTGTACATTTTAAGAAAAGAAAGAAAAGTAATGAAGTTTTTACTCCAATCCATTTCTTAATTGGTGAATATTATTTCTATCTAAAATACGTGTTTTACGTACATGTACGTACACGCCCGTGCCTGCACGCGTGTCCGCGCGCGCCGACACACATACACACACATACATCCATACATAATTCTTTTAATCTCTTGAAAAGTTTAATACAATTTTTTAAATCAAATTTGATATCAATATATTCAATATTGATTCCATATATTCAATATTGATTTCAATATATTCAGTAATTGTAAATAGGGAATAAATTATTCGTGAAAGAAATAATTATCGTTATCAATAATCTGTTGACATCACATCATTATCAACAAGGTATATGTTTTTATTGTCGATAAAAAATAACTGAGGAAAGAAAGTCAAATCGAGCATTTTCACCTTTTTCGTAGATCCAAAAAATTGCATATGTGAACATGATGCATGTCACGTATGTATACACAAACATACACACACACACGCGCGCACGCGCGTACGTGTATGCGCATGTATAGACTGAGTTGTAAAATAATATTTGTCACGTAAGGCATAATGTACGGTAATTGTGCATGGACACGCTTGAACAAGTAAAAATAAACATAATATATGTACATATATACCCAGTAAACATAGTTACATAACAGTTACATTGTCGTAATGTAACGAAATGTAACACGTAATATAACGTGTACGTTACAAGCAATATACATGTTAGTTATAATTTCCCACTCATAGAAAGTTACAGTTATATAACAGAAATATCACATGTTACTAAAATGTTGTACAGCTGTTATATAACTGTAATATTATTGTTATATAAAAAATTTACTCCTAATTTTCTCGCACCTTGCGTCCGTCGATAGCTTCAATTCCAAGCGGTTCACCTTCTATGTGCTGACCATGCTAGGCTTTGCTTTAACCTGACAATCGAGTGGCACGCAGTTATCCCAATGACTCCAACGATGTTCTTGTGACTTGTGCTTATATAATGTATCCTTATAGTATTCACAGAACATTATAACTTTTCATATCAAAAATTAAAACAACGCAACAACATTCGATATACGACGAATATCAATATAGATTCAATGTTTCATTCTATGTTTCAAAATTACTAATAATGGAGTATTATAATGGTTAACCCACAAAGAAATAATTTGAAACAAATTCAAGGAAATTTAAATTTTAATTACTAAATCTAAAAAAAAGTTTTTGAAAAATATTATCTCAAATCCTGTTTTTTATCAACTGTTTTTTATCAATGGTTTTTTTTTCAATGAAATAGAATTTTTATTTCTAAAAATAATATTGTAAAAATATATTTTAATGAAACAACTCAAAATCGAACAAGTAAGAATATTAAACCTAAAGAAATTTTTCTCTGTGTGAGTTTTGTATAATATACATGCTTTCTTAAACGTTTAAATAGTATAAATGCGGATATCTCCACGAAAATAGGAACGTTGTGTCCACATGAAATCCATGTGGTTTTGTGGATTCCACGTGAATGCAACGAATACGTTCCATGTGGATTCGATATGACTTTTTTGTGGGGATATACATATCAGTATGCATATAAACGTGCATTATAAATGTCAATATAAATAGGCAATATGCAATAGGCAATATGGTCTGCTTAAGTGCGATGAAGGCATTAAAAATACATAAAAACATAGAACTACAGAATAAAGCAGAACGGAATTTCTGATTGATTAATTTTCCACCATTTCTTTTATTTGTTACTGTTCCGCTTTGCTATTTCTTTCTCTATCGGAATGCATCCTTATTCGCAATAGAAAGCATTTGCAGCTTTTAATGGATTGCATGAATAGTTATGTTGTATAACATCAATGTGATGAATCATGTATATGAACGTAATTACTGTTATATAACGTGTTACATTACTGTTATATTATTATTATAATGTTATCTCTAGCTTATAGCAAAACAGTGTAACAGATATATAACACAATTATATTACAACTATGAAACCAAATTATGTAACCTTAATATAACTAGAGTATAGCATATGTTATATTACATATTACTCCTATGTTATATAACAGTTATATTCTGTGTTTGCTGGGTATATATATATATATATATATATATATATATATATGTATATATATGTATATATATGTATATATATGTGTGTATATATATATATAAATTACGATCAATAATTCTAATTGAATATACAATGTGAGAAATGTAAAAAACGAGCGGAACTGGAACGCTTAAGATTTACTAATCCAAGAATACTTGAATCCAAGGATTTAAAGATATCTGAGATTATTTAAAGAGTCATGTGAAAGAATTTTATGATTCAAGAACTTAAAAATTCATGAATCTTATAAATTCATGGTTCTTGAAATACATGTATATTTATATGTACAAATTCCCGAATGGAAGAATTTCTTACAAATCATGAACTCAAACATCCAGATATCTAAAATTTTTTCTTATTTGTAGATGTTAAAATTCGAGGATCCAAGTATTCAAATTTTATTACAAATACGCAACGATGCATGTGTACATCAATTACATTGTATTCTAATAATTACTGATTAATAATCTACAATAATCGTAATAATTATTAACGGAAAGCGATTTAGTTAATGTATATCATTTACTAAATTTCAAACATACAACAGTTGAACGATCTGACTAAGGATACGATTCATTAGTCGCTTCAAAGCATTCTAGTTATATAATGATTTAATTAATTCCTTGTATAAAGAAACGCTTCGAAGCCTATAAAGCGTCTAGTGCATCGCATCCTAAATTGTTTTAAATATGTGAGGAAATGACTATGTGTGTATACGTGCGGATGCGTGCGTGCATACGTGTATATACGCGAGCGCGCGCGTGTGTATGTGTGTGTGTGTGTATGTGTGTGTGTGTGTGTGTGTGTGTGTGTGTGTGTGTGCGTGTATGTAGGTGTGTGAATAAAAAGGAACAGAAATACAAAAATTATTATTATTAAGTAACGAAAGAAATGGAAGAAATAAAAATTAGGCGGAAACTATAAAACACATTTGCCATTTAAGTCCGTGTGTATTTTTTTCAGAAAATAAAATAACACGCATCTGTGCGATCTCTACATATGGCATAGTTTTGGAATGAAATATAATTAAATTGAATTAACAAGATCACACTGAGCTTTGATAATATTGATCCTTTTCATACCGTATGTTGTATCAATTACTTATTAATTAGTTGATCGTAACCTTGTAAATATCAAATTAAAATTTTTCATTTAGTTTTAAATTTCGTTAGTACTATCTAGATCTTTTTATGTTAAATAATCAGCTTCAGTGATTTATAATCTCTATTTACACACACTATTTACCACAGATTTTAAAATGATCTCTATTATATAATTTGTCAAATATTTGATCATATTTAGATGAAGAATTTTACTCTTGGTACCCGCAATTTTACGTTGGTATATAATTTGCATGATACTAAATTGCTGAATTTTAAATAATAAATACTATAAATAATAAAAATATATCAAGTAAATCAAAGGAAATCGTTTGCCTATTTTGCGTTTCAAATGTTCATAGCAAAAAACGGTTTGTAAAATATATTATTAGGTTGTCTAAAAAGTATTGAGCCTTTTGTGTACGAGATAGTGTTAGTGTCCTAAATCTCAGAGTATATTGGTCTATTCTTTGTAACTGCACTGCTGAACTGGTGCAATAAGCTAGAGTGAGAAAACCTATATTTGTCTCACTTTAACTTATTACGCCAGTTCAACAGTGCAGCTACAAAAAACAGACCATATGAGTCGCAGCAGGTCAGGTCTAACGTCATTTGACAGCTGACAGTTGAAGCTAGTACAAAAAGTGTTGGAATTCTTATAATCAGACGTAAGGTATTGCGTCATGAAGATGAATGAACTTTCCGCAAAACTGCTACATTTTACAATTTTATTTCGATAAAGGCGCAAATGCGCAAACTGCGCAGTTCCGTGAAGAAATTTGTATTGTTTATGGACAAGATACGTTATCAAAAGCAACAGCCAAAAGATAGTTCAGTCGTTTTCGTTCTGGGAATTTCGATGCCAAGATGCTCCTCGCAGTGGCCGACCAATCACAGTAAAAGTGGATGATATTCAAAAGTCGAGCAAGACCGGCATGTAAGCAGTCATGACATCGTCAATGACCTAGAGTCCGGCAACCGCTACAAATGCTTTGAAGCGTTTCTCTTTCTCGTTCTATTTCTCGGATGCAAACGAAGAAAGAAAGAGAAGTAAAAACGCTTCGAAGCATTTGTAGTGATTGATGGACCGCACCCCTAAACATCCATCACCAAACAGTGTTAAGGGCAGTGTTGCCAACTCTGAATTTTAAAATCCGTCAAATGCTTCTCCAAAAAACCCCAGAAATAAGCTAAAATTAATAAATGTGTGTATGTGTGTATGTGTGCACGCGTGCTATGTATACGTGTGCATATGTTTTTAAGAAAGGAATTAAAATAAATACATAATTAGTTTTATTGTTGATTAATTTTATTCATAATAATATAATTATATTATATTATTGATACAATCGCTTTTATATTTTATATATATTTTTCATATTTCATTTTATTATAAGCAGTATTATATACGCGGTATTATCTACTTTTAGCAACTGATGTCTTCTTATTTCTTTTAGGAAAATCAATCTTCTTTTGACAAAACGATGAAGTAAATAGAGCTGATGCTCTTATATGTTTTCTACTTTTCGAATGGTTATCAATGTCAGTCAATTTGGCAGTAATAGTGCATTTACACCACTTACATGTTGCTCTTGTTGGATCATCATCAATAGGTAAGAGCCAGTCTTTGAATTTATCTGACTTTAACCAAGCCAGACGAAATTTTTGTTTATATTGTGGTGGCATCTACATATATCCTAAATGTAGCAAAATTAATCTAAGTTAATAATAGCAATAATATAAGGTATATAAAATAATAGTGCAGAAAGATATTAAAACAAGTAATAATACTTACGTTCAAGTCAAACTTATGAGTTGAGAAATAAGCTTTGTACATCACAAATAAATGATCAAATGTTGTTATTTCCTATTATCTATTATGTAGATAGTTCAGTATCCTCGCAATCTTAGAGCTCTCATAGCCAGCGTAACGCGACACGCGATATGCAACGCGTGATATCCAATAAGCGTACAATTATCAAAATAGCAGAACGATCATTGAATATCGCACGTCGCTTGTCGCGTGTCGCGTCGCGCTGGCCTGCGAGAGCTCTTAGGCCTGGAACACAATACGTCGTATATCGGAGTCAGATGTCGGATTCATTCATAGTCCAATGAGAAAAACTCGTTACCGGAAAACAAACTGTCTTATTGGACCATCAACTGAGTTGCGACATCCGACTCCAACATACGACATATTGTATTCCAGGCCTTATGCTGCTTCCCCATGCGACGTAAGATATGTAACTTGTGTTAAACCGCGTCAGCAAATCAAATCATTTCAGTTACGCAAATCTGTCTAGTGCAAGCATACATATATTTAATCATGCAATGTTAAAGTAATATATATTATTTAATTATAATTAACTCTTTTCAATAACAATAAATCACACCTAATAACGCCTCATTCAAATTTAATAAAAAAAGTTAACTTATTTTGGAGAAAAAATCCGCCGTTTCAATTTTTAAAAAATCCAGAAAATACGTCAACAGCTAAACCGCAATTTTTGCACGCTAAGCGTTATTTAAAAAAGCTAGAAATGACGGAAAATAAGCCAAGTTGGCAACACTGGTTAAGGGTCTGCAGGAACCAGAGACAAATCCAACGTTGACTTTGGAGGCCTCGTGCGGCGAGATCGCGAACCAACACCGTGCGCGCGAACGCAAGAGCAGGAAGGTTGGGTCAAGTCAGTTTGACAAGGACGAACAATCGATCGCGCTGTCCTTGTCTTACTCACTAGAGCTTTCGCCGATCGATACACGGCAAGAAAATGCTTTCCAGGCTTTTGGGCGAGTGAGCCAAGTGTCGCAGTGACTTACGTGCAATACCATTTTACAAATTAACCTATTTTGTCTAGCTAACGTTATACATCACCGCCAAATTATTATAGCATGTTCCTTATATTATTCCCAAGATCCCCACAAAGCCAGATTTTGCAATCCGGCCGTTCAAAATTTATGAAAAATAAATGAAGCGTCCGCCGTACCAAGCATCGCAGCGAATCACTCCAAAAATTATTTTACGAGATGCAAAATTTCGCCTCGTTGATGATACGTATAATTGCTAAACTGTTACAGCATCTTCCTTGAACTATCACTAAGGACCTTACACAGCCAGATTTTACAATCCGGCCGTCAAAAGTTTATAATATATAAATAAAGTATCAGCCGTTGCACCAGGAGTTGCAGCGAGTCAGGTGGAATACCATTTTACAAGAAGCAATATTTTGCCTTATTAACGCAATATATAACCATGAATTAGTTATAGCATCTTCCTACAACTATTCCCGAGATCTCTACAGAGTTAGATTTTACAAACAGGCCGCCAACAATTTATTATACACAAATAAAGCGTCAGCTGTACCAAATATCGCAACGAGTCAGGCGGAATACAATTTTACAAGAACAAATATATTGCCTCGTTGACAATATATATAACCGCCAAATTATTATGGTATCTTCCTTGAACTATCCTCGGAAACCCTACAGAGCCAGATTTTGCAATTCGGCCGTCAAAAATTTACCTTACATTAATAAAGCGTCCGCTGTACCAAGCATCGCTGCGAGTCGCTCGAAATATCATTTTACGAGATGCAATATTTCGTCTCTTTGATGATACGTATTGTTAACAAATTGTTGCAGCATCTTCTTCGTACTATTTCCGAGATTGGTACAAAGCAGGATTTTGCAATCCGGTCGTCAAAAATTTATAATATATAAATAAAGCGTCCGTCGTACCAGGCGTCGAAGCGAATCAGTCGAAAAATCATTGTAGAAGATGCAAAATTTCACCTCATTGACGATATGTTTCACCGCCAAATTGTTATAGCATCTTCTTTGAGCTATCCCCGAGAAACCTACAGAACCAGATTTTGCAGTCAGACTGTGAAAAGTGCATCATAAATAAATAAAGATGTATGAAGCGTCGGAGCGGATCACGTTACAATACCATTTTACAAAATGAGATATATTATTTCACTGATGTAATATATCATCAACATATTGTTATATCATATCTCTAAAACTATTCCCAAGATCCTCACAAAGCGAGATTTTGCAATCAGGCCGTCTAACTTTTATTATAAATAAATAAAGATGCATCAAGCGTTAAGGCGGATCACGCGAATACAATTTCACAAGAAGAGATATTCCGCCTCGTTGGCGATATACTAGATGCGCAACTAAGTTTCCGGGTTTCACACATGGATGGCGCTAACGACACATGTAGTCGACATACATGTCTGAAGTTGTGTTTTTTATAGCTTGGACATCTGTTAACAATAACCAGTCGTAATACCAACACATATCGCAACGTAAAAATATTTTTTCTAACAACGAAGATGTCGAGTTTTGTGCCAAATAAACAGCGTTTGCGGGAAGCTTTGCATTTCTGCTTTAACCTGAAAAAAAGTGCAGCTGAAGCACGTCGTTTGCTTGAGGAGGCCTACGGCGAAAATGCACCATCGAAAACTACCTGTGAAGATTTAAACGCTTCAGAAGTAGCGATTTCGACACTGAGAACAAGGAGCGCTCCGGAAGACTAAAAACAATTGAGAACGCCGATCTGCAAGCGTTATTGGACGAAGATGATACGCAAACACAAGATCAACTTGCGGAGGCATTAAACATGACTCACCAAGGTATTTCCAAACGTTTACATGCCATGGGAAAAGTTCAAAAAGAAGGAAAATGGGTGCTGCATGAGTTGACTGAGAGACAGATGGAAAATCGAAGAGCCACTTCCGAAATTTTGCTTTTGCGACATGAAAGAAAGAGTTTCCCGCATCGAATTATTACTGGCGATAAGAAGTGGATATATTTGGAGAATCCCAAACGCAAAAAATCGTGGCTTTTACCTGGTGAAGCATCAATATCGACGGCACGGCCAAAAAATCGCTTCGAAAAGAAAACAATGCTCTGCGTTTGGCATGATCAGAAAGGAATCGTGTACTATGAGCCGCTAAAACCGGGCGAAACTGTCAAAGGGCATCGTTACCGACAACAACTGATCAATTTGAACCGTGCTCGAAAAACGGCCAGAATGGGACACGAGACACGAACGAGTGATATTGCAGCACGACAACGCTTCGTGCCATCGCACTTCCATCGTTCAGGACACCATCGAAACGCTGAAATGGGATCTGCTACCGCACCCGCCGTATTCGCCAGACCTGGCCCCTTTCGGTTATTACTTGTTCCGGTCGATGGCGCATGGCTTAGCTGGGCAACACTTGGCCAATTTCGAAGAAGTGCAAAATTGGTTGGATGAATGGTTTCGGTCCAAAGACGCGTCGTTTTATCGCCGCGGTATTCATGTATTGCCAAAGAGATGGCAAAAATGTGTAGTTAGCGAGGGACGATGCTTCGAATAAACCATTTTTTGTATTTCTCTTGAAATTTTCCATTTTTCATTGACAAAAAAAACCCGGAAACTTAGTTGCGCACCTAGTATGTAACCGCCGAATTGATATGGAATATTCTGTGAACTATTATCGAAGTCCCTACAGAACCAAATTTTGCAATCCGTGGTCAAAAATTTATCATATATTAATAAAGCGTGCGCCGTACGAAACGTCGCAGCAAGTTCCGCGAAATACCATGTTACAAGAAAAAACATTTTGCCTTGTTGCTGTCATATATTAGTCCCAAATTGTTATAACGTATTCCTCGATCTATCCCTGAGAACTCTACAAAGCCACATTTCAGGCCGCCTAACAATTATCGTATATAAAAGGCTGTACCGGGCATTTCGATTATTAACACATATACAGGGTGTACGATTTATCTGAAGACATTGAAATATCTCGAGAACTATGCATTGGATAAAAAAAAGTTAATGAAAGTTGTTAGTCTCGAAGGGGGACATCCAATGATATCAAACTCGACCTCCCACCCCACCCCCTGGGAGTGGGGGTGGGGGCAACTTTGAAATCTTAAATGGAAACCCCCATTTTTATTGCAGATGCGGATTCTACGCCACAAAATACATAAATTTTGTTCGAAATTTTTTTTTGATTCGTGATAGATGGCGCTGTAATCGCAAAAAATTATATTTTCCGCAATTCTCCAGAAATGATCATTGGATTGAGAAATAAAAAATACCTGTTCAATATTTTTAAAGAACATGATAAAAGTTATTCCCCCCCATCCTCTCGGGGTAGGGTGGGTGGTAACGTTCAAATCTCAAATGGGAACCCGATGTTTGACAAAGTATGTGGTTTCAGCATGACGATTGCCCAGCGCATAACTCTATAGCAGCACGGGAAGTATTAGACCGTGATTACAATGGTCGATGGATTGGCAGAGGTGGCCCGATTAATTGGCCTGCTAGGTCGCCTGATTTGACATCGCCGGATTTCTTTCTGTGGGGTTACCTAAAAGATAAGGTTTATCAACAAGTGCCAACAACTCGTGAAAACATGGTAGAACGCATAAGAAATGCTTGCGCTGAAACTCCCGCAGATATGCTTCTATCCTGTGTACAGTCATTTGAAAAAAGGATCAATAAGTGTATTGAAGTTGAAGGTAAAAATTTCGAACACTTACTCTATAATAAATTGAACAGTGAGAGGCAAGGGGACTCACATTAAAAAAGCACCCCGATCTGTGAGAGGCAAGGGGACTCACATTAAAAAAGCACCCGAAGGGAACATAAAACTACTACGTCCTCGTCGTTGTTCCTGTGTAACGCTAAAAGTAGTTTCTCAGAAAAATTCAACGCTATCTATCACGAATGAAAAAAATTATTTCAATAAAAATTTCACGTACAATCTAATTCTGCAATGAAAAATGTGGGTCCCCATTTGAGATTTGAACGTTATCACCCACCCTACCCCGAGAGGATGGGGGGCGAATAACTTTTATTATGTCCTTTAAAAATATTGAACAAGTATTTTTATTTCTCAATCCAATGATCATTTCTGGAGAATTGCGGAAAATATAATTTTTTGCGATTACAGCGCCATCTATCACGAATCAAAAAAAAAGTTTCGGACAAAATTTACGTATTTTGTGGCGTAGAATCCGTATCTGCAATAAAAAATGGGGGTTTCCATTTAAGATTTCAAAGTTGCCCCCAACCCCCACCCCCAGGGGGTGGGGTGGGAGGTCGAGTTTGATATCATTGGATGTCCCCCTTCGAGACTAACAACTTTCATTAACCACTTTTTTTATCCAATGCATAGTTCTCGAAATATTTCAATGTCTTCGGATAAATCGTGCACCCTCTATATGTGAGCACCGGTGACCCCAATGAGCACGAACCGCGTACGGGTAATTTTTTGGGTGATATGACGGATGAGCTTGAGAACCATGGT